ATGACCATTTTTGCAAACTGCTCTGGGTTACTTCCACCGAGCTCTGTGCAGATATCTTCCAGAAACTCCACCATTTGCTTGTTGAGCTCTAAGCTGTTGGAGAATGTCCGCGGTGCTGTGGTCAGCAGCCGGTGGAGGTCTTTGGCATTTAGTCCCAGTGAGACCAGATAATTTATGTTCTTTTCCAAGTTGTCGTTATCACTGGAGCGGAAAAACGACTCAGGTGAGCGATCCAGGATGCTTATGATTTCTGCGTCTGTCTGGAAGATGTTTCTCCACAGCTGCCAGCGTTGTTCCAAGTGTTCAATGGAGCGAGTGATGGCTCGGGGATAACGGGATATTATGCCAGCAATGACTTTGCGGCTGGCACCTTTTCCTTGCAGGAACTGAGCGAGGCCGTGCTCATTAGTGAAGGTTTTACGAAGCACCCCAGGCTGACGCTGGCGTGCCATCCTCACGTCAACTCCCATGAGGTTCAAGTTCTCGAGCAGAGATTCATTCTCCGGGTTTAGCGGCGGCTTTGTTTCAGTACTTCCTGTCGAAGTACTGTAAAGCCTTCTGGGGAAGCAGGCTGACGCAAAATGTATTGGAGTGAAGCCAAAAAAGCTGTGCTGCAATGTCACCAATCGCTGCACAGTGAAGAGGGCTCTCACTCCAGGAACTCCTGCCATTTTTATTGAGGAGGGCCACACTGAAACATCACTGCAATTCAGACAAGAAAAAACAGACATGTTAATATACAGTCATGTGAAAAGACAGTTTTCACAGTTGCAGTCCTGTGAAAAACAAATTAAACCCCACTGGTTAACAGCTGTAGAACCACCTTTATAATCCGTAAGTTGGAGTGACTGTTTTCTGTGTGACTTTATCAGTCTCTCACTTCATTGTAGAGGAATTTTGGAGGTGGTGGAGGTCCCCCCCAAGCACTTCAGTCAGGCCAATGTCTGGGCTTTAACTGGGCCAGCACAGCCCCTTGATTCTTTTCTTTTTCAGACATTCTGTTGTAGATGCTGCTGCTATACTTGAAATCATTGTCCTGCAGCATGACCCAGTTCGGGCCAAGCTTTAGCTTTCAGAGAGATCCTGGAAAAATTGCGGCATTGTGTTAACACACACCTGAATGCTCCGGACCAGCAAATTGCCAAAAACTCATGCAATCATGCATTTGATAAGCAGCACCTAGCTACTACTAACCCTCTTAATTCCTATGGAAGTAATAAGGGTGTACTTGAGTTTTTTTCACAGCACTTTTGCTAAATATAAAAAAAGCCTTTAATATAATTAAAGAAAAGACAAGAAACAAAAAGAAAAGCCACTTGGCCAAAAAAGATGCAGACAGGTAACTGGTGAGCACATCTATTATCATATGC